GTGACTGTAGTGGGGCGGCTGCCCCACTCCCTGAGAGTATGGGCTGCGCCAGGCCAGTGGGCCTGCGCAGACGCACAGCCAATAGGAGAAGAGCTTACTGGGAGCCAATCAGGGCCCAGGTTGGAGACAGCCAATCAGGGCCCGGCTCAGCCCTATAAAAAGGCTGCTCAGGGAGAGAGCAGTCAGTCTGTCCCAGGCCTTCGACAGGGGAAAGTCTGTCTCCAGAGCAGGGAGACCAGCACCGCGGACAGTGCAGTGCTGGCCAGGCTCAGGGAGCAGAGGGGAGCTCTAGCCTGAGGCCTGCCAGACTGCAGGCCTTGAAGGGAAGGGCCTAGCGGGTGCAAAGGGCCGTAGGGGAAGCGGCCCAGGGAAGCGGACAGATGAGGGGAGAGAAGGAGGACAGCGAGGCTGCCGCCAGAGGGTCCCTGGGTCGGGACCCAGAGTAGAGGGAGGGCCTGGGTCCCCCCGTTCCCCCCTTGCAGTACACCCCGCCATTGGCCGTAGGGAGCAGCCATTACAGACCACACCAGATCCCTGACAGGAGGGATTAGACTTTGGGGTGTGTGGTTGACTACGGTGGCCGGACATAGAGACTGCTGATTGACACCCCTGCCCGGAAGGGGGTGTGGAAGGACTAAGGGGCACTGCCGGAGGGCAGTGGTCCTGAAGAGGACGCCGCGAGTTGGTGAGCGACGTGGGCTCAGAAGCCAACCGAGGGCAAGACAACGGGCGGAATACCACCAAGAGGGGACGCTCCATTGGACTGAGCTAATTCCCGGAGTAACCAGTAGGAGGCGCCGTGGGGGTGAGTCCCGACCTTGTTACAGTGACTGACCAGTAGCAGTCTGGAGTCACCAGCTTCTACACTGCAATTGCCACACGCTTCTCCACCAAGAGGGCAGCTCTCATTCTGGTGTCCTTGCACCGCAGGGCGGGGGTGAGCTCCACACACAGTTCCAGGAAGGTGGCTTTCCACATCCGAAAGTTCTGCAGCCACTGCTCGTCATCCCAGACCTGCATGACAATATGATCCCACCACTCAGTGCTAGTTTCACAAGCCCAAAAGCGATGGTCCACTGTGTGCAGCTGCTTCATGAATACCAAAAGTAATCGTACGTTGCTCCCATCCATGTCACAAGGCAAGTCTGAATCCTGTTCAGTTAGGAACTTTAAATGCACTGCCATCCGTGATGTGTTAATGACATTTAACAGAGCAGCAGAGAGCAATGCAGGATCTATCCTTTCACACAGAGATGGCAGGCAGACAGCAAACAAAGGCCACTGAAAAAAGCTGTGAACCAAAGCCAGAAGCCCATGGAATGCTGGGACAGAAAACAATGCATCATGGGACATTAAGCCCACATGCATGATGCGCTGTAATCCATTCCACCAACCCACAAGTCCTAGCAGCATAAGGTGGTGAGTAGCACTGTGGGATAGTTACCCACAGTGCACTACTCTCACTGTCCATGCTAGAGCACCAAGTATGGACGCTGACAGAAGGAGCATAGTGTAGGGTTACCATATTTTAAAATAACAAAAAGAGGACACTCCAAGGGGCCCCGCCCCCAACTCCGCCCCTTCCCCGCCCCGGCCCCACCCAACTCCGCCCCTTTCCCAAAGTCCCCGCCCCAACTCCGCCCCCTCCCCTGAACGCTCCGCCCCCCTGCTCCTCCCCCCTCCTGCTTCCTGCAAATCAAATTTTCACGGGAAGCCTGAAACAGGCAGGCAGCAGGTAAGCTGGGGTGGGGGCACGAAGAGGCACGGCCCAGTCTGGCCCCCCCGGCTGAGCAACTCTGGCCCCGGCGTCTCCGGCCCGGCTTGGCTCACGCCCTGGGGCGCCTGGCCTGGCCCGCCCCGGCCCTGGCAGCTCCAGCTCGGCTCGGGCCCTGGGGCACCGGCCCTGGTTCCGGCCGAGCGCGCTGGCCCTGGCCGAGCAGCTCTGGCCCGCCCCGGCGGCTCCAGCTCGGCTCGGGCCCCGGGGCACGGGCACTGGCCCTGGCCGAGCGGCTGCGACCCGGCTCGGGCCATGGGGCGCCGGCCCTGGTTCCGGCCGAGTGCGCCGGCCCCGGCCCACCCCGGCGGCTCCAGCTCAGCTCAGGCCCCAGGGCATGGGTCCCGGCCGAGTGGCTCCGGCCCCGGCCCTGGCGGCTCCGGCCCGGCTCGGCTCGGGCCCCGGGGCACCGGCCCTGGTTCCGGCCGAGCGCGCTGGTCCCAGCTGAGCAGCTCCGGCCTGCCCCGGCGGCTCCAGCTCAGTTCGGGCCCCGGGGCACGGGCACCGGCCCCAGCCGAGCGGCTCCAGCCCCGGGGCACCGGCCGAGCGGCTCCGGCCCCGGCGACTCCAGCTCGGATCGGGTCCCAGGACACCGGCCCGTCCAGCACTGGCCCCGGCCCCGGGTGAGCGGCGCCGGCCGGCAGCCGAGCACCGCCGGCCCCAGCGGCTCTGGCTCCGGCCCCAGCGCGGAACCAAGCCCCACGACCCCGCCCTATTTTCCCTGACATGTCCGGCTTTTTGGAATTCCCCCCCGGACGGGGATTTGAGGACCAAAAAGCCGGACATGTCCAGGAAAATCCGGACGTATGGTAACCCTAGCATAGTGTGAACATGCAATAGCAATGTTATTATAGTGCTTTTTGGTCGTCGACATAACTTTTTTTGATGAAACTCTGAAAAGGCCTAAGAAAGAGGGCAATTTAGAACAAATTGATAAATTAAACAATAAGAAGTCACCAGGACCCAGTGGTATTCACCCAAGATTTCTGAAGGAACTCAAATGTGAAAATGAAGAACTACTAATTATGGTATGAAACCTATCATTTAAATCAGCTTCTGTACCAGATGACTGGAGGATAGCTAATGTGATGCCAATTTTAAAAAAAGGTTCCAGAGGCGATCCTGGCAATTACAGGCCGGTAATCCTAACTTCAGTACCAGGAAAACTGGTTGAAACTATAGTAAAGAACAAAATTGTCAGACACACAGATGAACATGATTTGTTGGGGAAGAGTCAACATGTTTTTTGTAAATGAAAATCATGCCTCACCAATCTACTAGAATTCTTTGAGGGGGTCAAGAAGCTTGTGGACAAGGGTGATCCAGTGTATATAGTGTACTTAGATTTTCAGAAAGCCTTTGACAAGGTCCCTCACCATAGGCTCTTAAGCAAAGTAAGCTCTCATGGGATAAGAGGAAAGGCCTTTTCATGGATCAGTAACTGGTTAAAAGATAGGAAACAAAGGATAGGAATAAATGGTCAGTTTTCAGAATGGAGAGAGGTAAATAGGGGTGTCCCCAGGAGTCTGTACTGGGACCAGTACTATTTAACATATTCATAAATGATCTGGAAAAAGGGGTAAAGAGTGAGGTGGCAAAATTTGCAGATGGTACAAAACTATTCAAGACAGTTAAGTCGCAAGCAGACTGTGAAGAGTTACAAAGGGATCTCATAAAACTGGGTGACTGGGCAAAAACGGTTAATTCTCTTGAGGTAGAATGCAAGGGCTCGTCTCACATCTGGAGCATGAAAACTAGCTTCTTCCCTTGAAGTGTGAAGTCTGTGCTAGTCTGGAAACTAAATGTCCTGGTTTACGTGGAAGTCCGATGAGTCCTTGGGCCGGAAAGGAGAATGTGGATGGAGTCACCTTGTCCCAGTAAAAAACTGTGAAGGGTGGATCTGCCATAAGGGCTGCCGTGTTCAAAGTGCACGGACAGGCGCACACCTCCCGTGGGGCACCCACAGTGACAACTTCTCTGAGAAGGAGTCATAATTTTCTGAGGAAATTCCCTGTAGCCATTGTGTTAAATGCAGGTGGAAGGGAAATACGGTAAAAAGAGTAAAAATCTTCCTGTGTATTTTTTCTTTAAAAAAATGTTAACAACTGGGGCTGAAGGAGGATCTTCCTTTTATTTCTTTTTAACAATGAGGTCCCAGCTACAACAAGAACATTGTTGGTAGCTGGCATGTGACAGGTCAGACATCATCACAAAGGCCAATCAGAATGTTGCTATGGACAAAGCCATATTCTAATACACAGTAACATGTCATCAGTTTGTTACTCAGTCAATGACATTTCTATAATTCATATATGGGGCCAGATCCTCAACTGCTACAAATCAGCATCTCTCCATTAAACTTCAGTGGCACCACACCGATTGACACCAGCGGAGGTTCTGACCCACTGGTTTCCCTGTAGTAGACTAGAGTACATGGATACTATAGAATAAGGGTGGGGAGAGGAGGAAGCAATATGCACTAAGTGTCAGACAAGTCACAACCTAAATGCTTCAGCCATTTCAGGATTTGCTCTGACTGCATTCTGTTATTTGTCTGTTTGAAATGAGATCTGGGGCCACCGTTCTGCCCCCATGCCAGGAACCGGCCCTCACAGGCTTGGACTCCGAGCACAGAACTAAAGCTGTTCCACATTGTTCATGCAGAAAGTTCTTTCTCGGCCAAAAAACACAATTTCATTCTGCCACAGGAAAATATCTAAACAAACATTTTCATTTTTTTTTTAAATGTCGCTTTGTTTTTTTGGTTTAAAGAAAATGAAATTACATTTAAATTGAAATTCCAGGTCAAAACAAACCTTTTGTTTTAAAACTTCCAATGGGAAAACTGAAACTTCCAAACCAAGGACTTGTTTGAAATTCCTTGTGAGAAAAATGTTGATTCTCGGACTAGCTCTAGAGAGAACGTACCATCTCCTGTAAGGTCACTGTCAGTCCCATTCTATTAGGTGAGCATCAGGGGGCGCTATCGAGCAATGAAAGCCACATGCTTTCCCCTTCGCCCATCCCAGATGCACCAGATTTCACACTTTTACAATTCTGGCAATATAAGTGGGTCCTGTGTTGGTTCATACCTCTTAGGGGAATTTGACATAATGAGAAAAATCAGGTTAGAAAATATTGTTAAAAAATAATCACAGTCAATAGCCCACTAGCAGCTTTGAGTCTGTCAACCAAATACTCCAGAACAGCTGTAAATCATACTTACTGTTCAGGCCTTCCTTGTTAACTATGGTGGTGCTCCCGAGTGCCTCGTAGTACTGCTGGTTACTCATCAGCGTATGCATGCCAAGGATCGCTACATTAAAAAGAAAGGAAAACAAAACCGAGTTATTGCAGCCCCTTATGCGGAGAAAAGATGGATTCTGTCAAGCCTCGGGAGCACACAGCATCCCAGAAGTGACCTGAAATGTGGGCCTCCACAGTAAGAAATGTGCTTTTGTGTGAATGTAGAAAAGCTAGAAAGATGGCACCCATGAGCCCGCAGCTTGAGTCCCACTGTGCTGAGTGACAGCAGGTACTGACAGCACCCTGAGGCTATGGCCATTTTCTCTCCACTAAAGAGTAGCATGATTTGTGCAGGGAAAGGTATGTGCATTGCGGACAGCAAGGGTCAGGGCTGCACGTTAATGCCAAAAGATATTAAATGGAGGAAGCACAGACGTGGGAACAGTTTCCCAATGATCAAGCTGAATGGAGTGTCTGGGTTGGAGCCAAACATAAAAAAACGTGAGAGGAAGAATAAATATCACAAAACATAGAAACAGCCATTAGTAGTTACTAATCTCACGCCTGACCCTGCCGTGTGCCATGTGCCTTCCACCCGCCACTCGCCTGGGGGGAGGGGCTCTCCACACTTGTATAAGACAATAGCATCAACAGTGTGCCCGGCACACTCAGCAGCGGAATGAGACGGTCTCATCCAGTAAACTACGAAACAGTGTATAGATCCCAGCAGAAGTGCTCTGGCAATGGGTGTTCGGTTTATACCCAACACCAACGAACGGCAGCTTTAACTGAGCTTTGCACTTTTTAACAGGTCACAAAAACCTGAAGCAGTGCCAGGGTCCATGCTGACGTGGTGAAGACAGAAACATGAGTCGTATAAACAGAACACAGAACCCAGGTTTCAGATAACGAATGCATTTCAGTCTCTAATTTTCTAAAACCACACACACACACACACAGGCCCGGTCTACACTAAAAACTAAGTTAAGTCGACCCAGCTCCGTTGCGTGAAAATCCATACCCCTGAGCGAGGCAGTTAAGCTGACCTAACCCTGGCGTAAGACAGCACTAAGCTGACGGAAGAATTCTTCCGTTGATCTAGCTGCTGCCTCTCGTGGAGATGGATCACCTACAGTGTCGGCGGATCCCCGCCCGTCACCGCAGTGAGTGGCTGCACTGACGTTGCAACTGTGCCATTGTAGCGGCTTAAGTGTAGAGACAGCCTCAATCTGTGTCTGTTCCATAACCTCAGCAGTCAGGCACCTACCAGAGTAGGCAGCACAAAGCCCACAGACCAAACATAACATTTAAAAAAAGAAATCCTGCTGCTCTCAGAAAATTCATTTTGGAAAAAGCCCTCTAGCAACGAATTGTCCATTCTCATGTGGTTCGATATAGAATGTTACACGTGTGCATGTGTGTATCAACAGACACGTGTAAACATATGTTTATTAGGGATGGGCAAATCATATCAAACAAACTAAGAACAAAAATTCCTCTAAACTTCACACAGAACAGACCTTCTTCAAGGTCCCAACAGCTGTTTTCTCTTAGTTTTTCCACAAACTGTTCTTCCAGGGTTTGGCTGGCACCAGAAGCAGAAATTGCCAGAACTTCCCTGCCCATGTGGAGTTTTGGCTGCAGAGTGCTGGGACTGTCATGAGAAGGGTGGTTCTTGCTAAGGACCTACCAGGTGAAAAACTGCCGGGACAAATAATTGCACACCTACAATTACTGGCACCCACTATCTAGTTCCCTCAGACACGTAAATTCCTGCTTCAACCCACAAATCAGACTCTCGGTCATCCAAGAGACCTGTGCTGCAGGTGCAAATAGCTATAGATGTGGGATTACACCTGTGATTATTTACGCCCACAATTGGTACCTGCAGACAGGGAGGCCCCTGGTCTCAATGTCTGGCTCATATTGTACAGGGACACATGAAAAAGAGCTTCACAATTCCCACACGAGTACCCACTTCCTTGTCTTCTGCTTGTCTGCTCCTGTATTGGGCAGCAGGAAGACAAGCACACACAGGCCTGCAGAGAAGTTCTTCCAGGGCATGGGGTGCATAAGAAGAAGAAGAAGTAGAGGGGAGGGAATGGAAAGGGTTAATTTACTTCTAGGACGATTTTGTTGTTAATTTTGAATTAATGTCAGTTTGATGTCAGGTCAGGCTATGCCTATTACCGTAATGAGAGTAGACGGTACTACCTGCGGCTCATCAAACCCACTGCCTTGTGGGTAGCCCGGAAGGGCATAAGGCTAAGGGAGCAACCCCTGACAGAAAAGCCTCACTGCCTTGTGGGTGAATTCGGGAGAATGTAAGGCTATGAGCGTAAACTCAGACAGAAAATCTGGAGTGGAGCCCCAACAGCGGTCAGGTCCTAACATCTTAGTATCTTTCTGGCAACTCCTGCAGTGGATCGGGTACCAGATGTATTGTTTTTTCCTCTCCTCTGGGTTTTACTGTTGATGCTGAGATGGGGGTCCTGATGCATGGGCAATTCAGGGCCTCCATATCATCTGCCCAGGTTTGCGCCCTGGAGAGGTACTCCATCTTCACCTCAAGCCTCAACACAACATGGGAGGCAGCAGTCACTGGTTCTAAGCTCCTACTCTATCGGCGTAGAGTTGAGCGCCAAGAGCTGTCTCTGACGGTGGGAGAGATCATCGTATCTCACTGGACAGCCACCACCCACCATAAAACTGGGTGGCCCCCGGACAATAGGGTGTTGTCCCACCACAGTCTGCCTGCTTCAATGGGTGCTTGGAGTTTAGAGTTTCAAAACTTGACAAGTGGACTGTGACCAATGCACCAGGCAAATCAAGTAAAAGAAAGAAAACATCCTTAAAGATAGGGTGCTGGAACGTTCGCACCATGACAACTGGATTATCTGAGGACCTTCAGCAAATGAACAATGCACGTAAAACTGCCATGATCAATGACAAGCTGAAATGACTCAATGTGGGTATCGTAATCCTCCAAGAAACACGGCTAGCATCAAGTGGATCTCTCAGGGGAAAAGTCTACACATTTTTCTGGCAGGGGAAAAGCGCTGAAGAAACGCAAGAGCACAGAGAGGGATTTGCCATCACTCACTTCTGGGGATGACTGAGCTACCTACAACTGGATCAGAGAGAATTTTGGCACTACGGTTGTTCTCATCTGAGGGCCCAGTCAACCTTGTGAGTGTGTTTGCCCCAACACTCTCCTCATCTTCTGACATCAAGGACCAGTTCTACGACCAGTTGAACACCACCATCAGCAGGATTCCGAAGCACAAATATGTTTTCCTGCTAGGGGACTTCAATGCAAGAGTGGGAGCTGATCATGAAGCATAGTCTTGCCCAACACGGAACTGATAAAAGAATGGAAATGGTCAGAGACTGCTAAAAGTTTGTTCCTATTACGACCTCTGTGTAACAAACTCATTCTTCCAGACAAAGCCGCAACACAAAGTGTCTTGGAAACATCCCAGATCTGTCCATTGGCACCAACTGGATCTTATCATCACAAGGTGTACCAACCTTAACAGTGTCCTCATTACCCGCAGTTATCAAAGTGCTCACTGAGACACAGGCCACTCTCTGGTATGCAGCAAGGTCAGACTTAAACCAAAGAAAATAAACAGATCTAAAGTAAAAGGACGTACTCGTATTAACATCAGTACTTTAGCACAGTGGTTTTCAAACCGTGGGTCGTGACAGAATTGGGTCGTGGAATGGAAGGCACTGGGTCACAGCGGCTCTGGTCAGCACCGCCCACTGGGATGTTAAAAGTCCCATTGTCGGTGCTGACCGGCTAACGCAGACTAGTCCCTACCTGTTCCGACACCGCGCTGCACCCTGGAAGCAGCCAGTAGCAGGTCCGGCTGCTAGGTGGGCGGGGTGGGGCACGGGGCTCCGCGTGCTGCCCCTACCCCAAGCACTGGCTCCGTGCTCCGGCCAATGGGAGCTGGGGGGGCGGTGCCTGTGGGCGAGAGCCGCGTGGAGCCACTTGCGTGCCTCTGCCTAGGAGCTGGACCTGCTGCTGGTCACTTCAGGCACAGCATGGTCCGTGGTGCCAGGGCAGGTGGGAAGCCTGCCTCTGCACCCCGGCTGTGCCGCTGACCAGGAGCCACTGCAGGTAAGCCTGCACCCCAAGCCCGTGCCCCAATCCCCTGCCCCAGCCCTGAGCCCCCCCCAACCCAGAGCCCCTTCCTCAACCTCAAACTCTTCATCCCCAGCCCCACCCTAGTGCCTGCACCCTCAGCCCAGAGCCCTGACCCCCTCCCACACACCAACCCTCTGCCCCAGCCCTGAGCCCCTCCACACCCCGAACCCCTCATCCCCACCTCTGTTGGGTCGTGGGCATCAACAATTTTCTTCAACTGGGTTGCCAGAAAAAAAGTTTGAAAACCACTGCCTTAGCGGACCAAGAAAAGTCACAGCAGTACAAGAACATTTTATTAAGATGATGTTAAAAGAAAAAGTGAACAGAGTTTGAGCATAGAAGTTTCTGGTTATCAGGGAATAACATACAGATTATCGAGGGTGCAAAGTTTGGTTTAAGATCAGGTTGCATGAGGAATACATAATCTGCAATATCCCCGATTGGGGGTAAAAGGTTGATGGGTCAAAGTACAGGCATTGAGATATGAGGGTATGAAGTTCATAGAGTAGCTATGTTTGGGTGTGGAGTATAATGAGTGGATATGATGATGAGGATGGATTGACCCTCATTTGGTGAGATTTAATGTTCAGGGAGTTTATGGTTCCAGGTCATATGATCCAACAGAGAAGGTCACTTGGTCCCTTTCTCGTAGTGGGAGAACGATGTCACTCTGGCTCACGCCTCCTGGTACTGTCGGTGGCCAGTGATGTGCTCGATGTAGATGTCCCTGGACCATCGGATGGCGTCTGAGACCATGAGGCACCACATGAGCCATGCGTAGCATCGACCGATCCCGCAGGTCTGCAGCACACACTCGTTGCAGGGGTCCCAGGCGCCCAGGGCTTCGACAATCAGGGCGTCCATCTGCACCTCATAGCCCTTCGCTCTCAGGGTCCTTGACTCCAGTGATTGTGCC